CCTCTTATTTTATATGAGAAGGTTTCACTTCAGACTTTTAGAAGGAGTGGTACACTAATGTGAAGCCGCGACCTGGACTTCGATTTTCGATCCGAACATTGAATAGGTAGGTACCTACATGGATCTTGTCTAGGGGAAGTCTTCACACCACGTTTGACTCCTCGATACGAAAAGCACCACGATACGCGGGCTAGCCCAAGCCTGCAATTGCTGTTTGGCCATAGATACATTTTAAGGTCTCACATAGCTAGAGCTTGTATCGGAAGTGCTTGTTCTGCCTGTCGGTCAGATCCTCAAAGCCCTCCAGCTGCTCTTCCTCCACCTCGGCATGCAAGCCTAGTCGGTCGCGCTCCCTGTTGTCGAGCCAGCACCACAATGTGTACAGGCCTTGGAATACCACTACTGCGCAATAAGTGCCCAGGAGCCCCTTGATTGCAGTTGGATATCTTGGTGCCTCCCAAGGTAGGAATAGGTGAGGGCCGATGATACTACATAGGTTCATGGACATTAGCAGCCACTCTCTTGGTACGGTACGTTCAGACCATAACTTACTCTCCAACGACGAAACAGGCAAAATATATCCCAATCACGGTACTTCGCTTCGTGTGCCCGGCTATGTTGAGGCCAGGGACAGTCCAGTTCAAAACAACCGGCGATCCGAGCACATTCTCTAACCAGCACATAGCCACAAGAGCATAGCGATGCTCGATACCAATCGTAAGGATTCCAACGAGTCCAGCTATGCCGGGCAAACATCCGATGATGATAGATACGCCAACCATGTTCGGAAGCAGCGAAAACCATCCCAGCAGGATGCAGCTGACGACTTCGAACGCGCCCCCGGGAGCCTGCAGCAAAGAGGCTCTCAGTGCGTCGAAATTGAAGCCCTTGATGATTGCTGACATGAAGTTTGTTACAGCTCCATTAAGGATACCGAGCGCTATTCCGGTCATCCATAACAAGTAGCATTTCCCATCCAAAAGCGCCTCCTTGATCTGATATGGTCGAATTGTCGCATCTTTGAGGCCTATCTGGTTATTGGAGACCCGCCAGACGGCAACAACACGTTCGTATTCCGTCAGCATCTTTGCGTTGTGCGGCCCGTCAGGGAGGTAGAGCAAGATGACGAACCCCCATACGAAGGTAAGAGCACCGACTATCTGCATAAATCTCGGGTTAGCTTTTGATGCAGAGACTCGAAATGGAAGACCATACTAGGAATATCAGCTTCCACTGCGATATTGCCAGCCCTCCAGCAACTCCTGACGCATAAGCTAGGAGGGCGCCTAGAATATTCGAGACACCGTTTGTGCACAGCCAAATAGAGCTGCGCAGGGTCTGTTCCTTCCTAGTCCAAAGCATCGAAGTCAGGATCACCCAGGCCGGCGAGAGGCAGGCCTCGAGCATGCCCAGAAAGAAGCGAACAGCAAAGAAGCCGCTGAAGTTGAAAACCGTGGCCTGTAACATGCAGACGGCTCCCCAAACGAATAACATACCGCCCACTAATTTTCCGATGGCAACGCGCTGCAGCAACATGTTCCATGGCCACGCACCGCCTTAAGGGTTAAGGGTTAGCTTTCATTCGGCACTTCGGTTCGCGTGTAGTCACTTACAGAGCCAACCAAAGTACAAGGCGGAAGCGACCCAGGAGTAATTGTCGCCCGTCATCTTTGTATCCTGCTGCAAACCGTACGCGTTCGAGTAGTTTAGGCTATAGACGATTATTATCAGAGTCCACCGTAGACTAAACATGAAATAAAGCATACCTACGTTTGCTTGTCGAGGAATGACAACATGTATGTAGTCATCATCTTCGCCGGCGGCCTGTTAGTGACGGATATCACAAGCATCGATTTTTGATGTCATACCATTGGAAGCACCAGAAGATCCAACTTCCACCGAACTTTGATTGCGTCCGCTTCAAGTTGAGCCCGATCGTATTGAAGGGACTTCTGCAGCATATCCCTGCCCAGCTCGTTGAGATCATTTCGCCGGTGAATCAGACGTTGGATTGCATTCTGCTTCGGCAGGACGAAGCCGGTTCCGTGCTCAGTATCAACTGGGCTCTCTGCGATTGGGACATCGTTCTTCTCTGACATTTTTGCGGTCATGTTGAGAGCAAGAAACAAAAGAGCTTCGCGTTAACGGTAAAGAGCATATTATATGCTACTCCTCACTTTCCTAGCGCCACTAAGATGGAATAGTTGCAACTTGTTCTACTAAGGATCCTCATATCTGATATGCATGATAAGATCCTTGCTATATTGGTCGCGATGCAGGCGTATCACTCCGGCGTGACGTCGTCGCTCCAGGGTGTCAATTCCACATGAATGTATTCACACCGAGACTTATACTATTATCGCAGAGGTTTCGACGAAAAAATCTAGGCTCTGGTAGATTGTATCAAGTTAAAATAATAAATAGACAGACTTAAAACGGTAGATGAAGGCAATGGATGAGCAGAACAGCTCACATGTGATACCCTAGGTATCCTAAGAAGCCAAGGTGACACCCATGTATCTCCCTATCGGGTGTAACGATAAGGCACCTACTTCCAAGGAGAGAACAAGGATATAGGGGGAGGTCTCCGGGGCAGATTATCAGATAATCTAGCATACAGTGGACCCAGAGATACGGAAGACCAATTACACAAACATTGGCAGGTCTGATACCCCTTGTTGCGTCTCCTCATCTCCAACTCTTCGGATATCGACGCGGCTTCCTACCCCACCTTTGACGAGATATGGGCATGGTCAGATACCTACCTAGGCATGCTTCCTCAGAGGGATGCATTCCTTGGTGAGGGGCTTCGCCTACCTACTTACCTATGGGTTTGAGATTACTTCCACTTTAGTCCATTCTCTGGGACATTAACTTGAGGCTGGATACACGTACATTTGAAGATGGGTGACGGCAACGAGTCAAGAACTGGGAAGTCCTGGCAAGAACTACAGGCAGCGAAGAAGGCGGAGCAGGACGCAAGAATACCGGCAGAATGGAAGTTGAAGAAAGAAGATTTTCCTCCGGAGGACACAGTCGACCTTCGTCCCTTTGTCAACTCATGCGAAATACTGACTCCAGCTGAGCTGGCAATCACCAGCGAGGAGTATGATGCGACGTCACTGGCCGCTGCCATTGCCGAGGGAAGATTCACGGCCTTGGAGGTTGTGACTGCGTTTTGTAAACGTGCTGCGATAGGGCATCAACTTTGCAACATGCTGACGGAGATTATGTTCGCTGATGCGATAGAGAGGGCCAAGGAACTGGACAGTATCTATAAGAGCACTGGTAGGGTAGTAGGTCCGCTACATGGAGTTCCCATGACCTTTAAGGAGTGCTTTCACTTCAAGGGGTACGACTCGACCAACGGGTATATGTCCCGGGTCTTCCAGCCGGCTGACCGTACCTCGCCCCTACCGGAACTCCTGCGAGCGGCTGGAGCGGTCATTATTTCCAAGACGAATGTACCCCAGACGATGCTTGTTGCAGAGGCCGACAACAATGTGTTCGGGCGTACCAAGAACCCGGTGAACTCTCGTCTGACTTGCGGTGGCAGTAGCGGCGGGGAGGGTGCGAGTCAGGCCTTCCGATGCAGTGCGCTGGGAGTCGGAACTGACGTCGGCGGCTCGATTCGAATACCGGCAGCTTGCAATGGTGTCTATGGATACAAGCCGACCTTCGGCATCATTCCTATGATCGGGTACTCGTACTCGGGTTGGACGGGTTCCAACACGGGAATCCCAGCTGTCACAGGCCCTCTAGGACATTCGGTGCGTGACCTTGATCTCTTCACCCGCGTAGTCAGAGCCGCGCAGCCTTGGCGGTTCGATCCTGCGGTCATACCAAATATCATGGAACTCGTCCCAGAAGCTCCGCGGAAGCCTGTCGTAGGCGTCATCTACTCGTCCGGTCTTACACCACACCCCCCAGTCCGCCGGGCTATTCGAGAAGCCGTATCCAAGCTTGCAGCTGCAGGGTTCGAGATTAGGGACTTCCATCCGCCTGACTTCATCGGCATCCGTAACATCTCCGAGCAGCTGTTTACCTTGGACGGTCTCTCCTACCCGAAGCAGGAGTTTGCCAAGTCAGGCGAGCCCGTAGTTCCGAGCGTCAAAAAGATTGGGTTCTGGGATATCCCGCCGAAGACCCAGGAGGAGGCGTGGCAGTGGAACACGAGGAAGGGGCAAGTCCAGAAGGACATGCTGGACGAGTGGCAGAGGGTGGGCTGTGACGTCGTCCTCGCGCCCGCCGGCCCGCATACGGCCGTACTGCCTGGCGACTGGACGAGCGATATTTACACGGTGGCTTGGAACGTGTGCGATGTAAGGCGTTTTCGCGCAGCGGTGTAGAGTCATTGATACGAGCTCCTAACATTGCTTTTAGTACCCTGCCATCATCATACCGTTTACGCACGCCGACCCGCTTCTCGATCCAGCAGATGCCGGTTTCAAGCCTAGACATTTGGCCGATCAGAAAAATCAGGATATGTGTACGCAGAGTCCCTGGCATACGGCACGAAGTCTAGCGGGCTAACGTATTCTCTAGATGATCCGGAGATTTTCAAGGGGGCGCCTGTGGCTTTGCAGGTAGTTGGGCCGAGACTTGGGGATAAACAGCTGCTCAAAGATGCCGAGCTGCTCGATAGTGTGTTGAATGGTACTGTTTAGAATCCTTGTATGTGTTGGTTGGCTTTGCTGGCGATATGGATTCTTTGCTGCGTCGAGGTCGTCTTTGGCATCCCCACTGGATATGCCCTCACCACACCTCGGTTGTTACTAACAGTAGACATCTAAGCCAGCGAGACGATTGAGTAAAGAGGGAAGTAGGAACGAGCGATATCAGTAGGTAAATAATGTTCATGGACATTCACATATTTTCACGAAAGCCGGCGATTAGGACGACGGCTGGGTAGACTGCCGGTGCCTGGCTGTGCGATATAAGAGTCAACAGCCGCCCACATTTTCAGTTGTCCCTCGCTCCAGAGCCCACTCTGGAGTGCCCCCTTGGTGGTGTAGTTGGTTATCGCGTTCGGCTGTAATTGAAATATCTAAACAGATATGATTGTATACCGAAATGTCGCCGGTTCGATTCCGGCCCGAGGGATCCTTTCATTTTTTGCAGTTTCTTCTTCATCAGTGTTCGAGTTTTGTGTGAGCGAGGAGCTGAGAATATGGGGCTGGTTAGGGCTGAAGCACAATTTTTTAGGGCCGGAGTATACCACCCGCCAGATAGCCCCTGCCCCGTCGTGCCTAGCTGCAGTACGCAGGGGGTTAATTAAGGTTGATGAAATACGAGTAGCTCGGCAGCTTTAGCGAACAAGTTAATGACGTGTCTGAGGCTGAATGAGAAGGTATATTCGATGAACGCCAATGAGCTTTCCTTGTGCTTTTATTACAGACATACACTGGTTGCAAACTATTGACATGTTAATGTATACGATGGTACCCAACAGCCACTTAATCAATGAGTGCCACCAGTCAAGTGGCCAGGCTAACGGCATAATCTTGACCCGAGCTGCAAGGACAAACTTGATGGATACTCGACATAAGGATTACCTATTACAGAATGCTGTGGAATTGCATTAAGTTCTAGTTCTATCTAAGCTCGTTGAAGCTGGCTCAAAGTATACACTTCTATAGATTAGGTACATAACTCATTTGTACGCCTAATGGACACGTCTAGGGGCAGGTTGCAACGTATCCTCGAGTCCTACCAAACCTGACCATGAAGCTCCTAAGGCAAAGAAAAAGGAAAAGCTGATACTGGTCCGTCTAGATGCACCTCACCAATAGTGCCAGCCCACAGATAATCGTCCAGGCCGTGTATTGACGCACAAGATGCACATGCAGCTCGCAATTTAGCCGGCGCCGATTCCGAGGCTCCGTAGCTAGACCTGGGCAGCAGCTTCCGTCCCCCTTGCGTTTGGTGCACGGTAGAAGCTTCGTATTCTCTCAATCCAGGAAGTCGGGAATGAGAAGAAACTCTATTTTTATCCGGTGCTACTCTGTGGCTCAATGGGCTCAACGTTACCCGGTGGCACGATGGACTTTCCCAGTTGTTTTGCCTGGGTAGCTGTTTATTCTAGCTGAATCTTCCAGGGTGATATTTAAACGGGAGCCTGCATCTTCGAGCCGATTCCCAATCTCCCTCCAGATTAACGACAACATCTAATATAGATTGTCACAAGTGAACCAAGTCTACTACTAAGTCGTACCGGTCCTGAAACCCCGATCCCAAGTCGCAAAGATGCAACTCTCCACTCGCCTCGCAACCTTGGCCGTTTCTCTGTGCACGGCCAGGCTTGCTGCCTCCTACGACACGACCCCGTTTATTGGGCCCCTCGACCCCTGGAAGGTCAATAGCTTGCGTATCACGGCTCCCGCACAAGGCCAGTCCGGAACCGTCGACGTCGAGCTCGCCATCGAGAACCCGAACACGGTCTCGGCCGGCCCTGCTCCCCACGCCGCTGGCGGAGGCTACCTCCCGTTCAACCCGAGCGCGGCCAACTGCAGCGCCGTGCAAGACAGCGTTGACCCGGGTATCGTGCATAATACCTGCGTCGAGACCAGCGATCTCTCGTACGGCGTCTGGAGCGTGGAGGTTGTGCCCGGCGCTGCGGCCCGCATTGACTTCACGAACTTGGATCTCACATTCACCCTGAACTACAATGTGAGCCGATGGGGCTCGCAGCTGTCCAAGGTGTACGACGGCACGGGACACTTTGAAGTTGGGACGAACTTGGCGGAGGGAGTGTGCGACGATGCCAGCGGGACGTGCTTGTATGAGTTGAAGGCGGAGGCTACGCCGGTTTTGATCTCTCCGACCATGACGGAGTGCCAGGGGACCTGCTCGCTGCCTTCGGGGAGCTAGTTAGGGGGCTCGGCTTATGAGTTGCATGCCGGGTACGACAGCATCCAGGAGTAGGCTTAGAGGGGGGGTGAGCTCAGAGGATTCGCGGTATGGGCGGATAAACTTCTATAATGAAATACACTCGTTTATCAAATAGAATGGAATATATGACCTTGGTGAATCGGTGCGGGAGTGGCGGTCGAGGAAGCTTGATACTTTGCTATTTATTTCAAATCTGTCAGAGGAGCCTTTGGAGATAAAAGCATCGGGATGCGAATAGTGGTATACCGGACCACCTCGTCTTCGTCTTCAACTGCCGTGGCTTTGCGGCTCTCTCCACTCAGCATTGCGAAAGTAAGCTTCTCTAGTAGAGACAGGTACGTCCTGTCCGTGGAGGGCTTGCTCGCTTGATATACTATGTGACTGAGATCTACGGGCGAGCTGGTAAGGATAAGCACTAATACTTCCTCAACCGGCTCCCCTCTTGACTGAGACAAGGCCGCCGGCCATCTAACTGCCAACCCCTTCAGTCCACGCCGATGCCTGGCGGCCCCAAAAACTTCCACCCGATCCGACGGCAGTTCGACCCCCCGAGGGCTGGACTTTGAGACCAGTTTGATCTGCCCCACCGCGTTGACGTAGAAAACCCACACGTGGACCGTTTCCGGCCCTCGGTTGATCAGCTCGATGTACACCCTGTCGCCTTCGGATATGCCGTCCGTGCCGTCTTGCCTGACTGTTCTCCCCCGGTGCCCGCCTTCACCGACAAGGCCCAAGTTCACCTCCATCTCGTGCTGGAGCAAATGGCCGCCGTCGGGGCTGCTCAACGATAGCAGATGCTGACCGCGGGCGAGTTGCTCGGCTGCTTGAACGAGCCGCTCCTCCCACGAAGGGGACTCTTCATCGGTAGACGTCGAAGCAATTTCGCGGCCGCGGTTGTTGTGCAAGGTCATGCGGTCGGGCCTCTCGCGGAACTCGGCCAGGACCAGATCTGCGTCGTCGGGACTTCGGGGCCTGATGAATCTTGATTTTTGCACTGTTGTTGCTAGCCCCTCGTAGCCAGAGGGCACGAGCACCGGCCATCTGTATGGCGCATCGTATTTCAGGAACGCCAACGCTCCCTCGGGTGGGAGCTTGGTGTCTCTCGCCGCGTCGCGCGGTATAAAGTCGGCTTTCGCCTTGAAGGCCGTGGCCGAAGTCACCGTTGCTTCTCCTAACCACTTGGCCGATGCTCCCCCCGCTGCCCCCTTTGCCCCAAATGGCACCACTGTGTACACGTTTCCCTCGCGCACGCCGGAAATGCGCCCAGCTTGGATGACGGCCGCCTTCGTGCTGTTGCCCTCCATTCGGATGTGAAACGCCCCGTCGACTAACTCCCGCACCTGGAACGGCAGTCGGTCTGCCGGTCCTGCTACTTCAGGGTGCTGGTACGGGAAGCGCACATTGACCAACTCGGCCACCCGCAGCATTACGGTGCGCCACGACGTCGCAGCGGCGTGAGAACCGCCTTCACCTGCAGGGCCTAGGTTCTCACCACCCATGCCCTCGAGGACGCACAGGAGCGCCTCGGTCAATGCGCCGTGCCAAACACCATCGACGCCGTTGATATCGCTGCGATACTCCCACGCTGTCTCTCCTGCCGCGGCGGCGGCTATGCGTACGGCGTGGGGGTTCTGCTCGGCGTTCAGGTCCGCGGGTAGAAGGCCTCGTCTGGAGAGGCGTTCGGCGTGGCGCGAAATGGCAGCGAAACGGCTACAATGACCGTCGCTACCCGCAGTGGTGGTGGAGGTGGAGATGGTGCGCGGCGCCACCACGTCGATGGCTGTTGGGTCGCGAGCCATACGTCCGGCGTAGCAGCAATCGAGGATGAGTGTGAAGTTGCGGGTACGAGCGGTGGTATCCCGCACGAGGGCCGAGAGCTCGACCTCAAGGATCCCGCGGAAGTCAGCCGTGCTGTCCTCACCGTCGCTATCGCTGCCTGCTTCATCAACCTCATCGTCATAGTCCATGGGAACGAGGAACTGGTAGCGCCACGGCGCCGGCGGGTCCGGGGCCTCGAACGAGCGGTCGGCAGGCTCGGGGGATGCGGCTAGCCCGCCGTGCCCGGAGTAGTAGACAACGACGGCGTCGTCCGCGCAGATCTCGTCGATGAGTCGCTGCCAGGCCTCGAGGATTCCAGCTCGAGTCGCGGCGGGCCCGCTGCATTGGAACGTCTCGAAGCCCATGCCTCGGAGGACTTTGTCCATTCTCTCGACATCGTTGATCGGCCCGCGCAAGCCCCTGAATGGGCTGGCTATTAGGAGAGCCTTTTTACCCGTCATGGTAAGGCGGTGTCTGCTGGCAAAGTGTGCACACGCTTTAAATTATATTGAGAATATGCTCCGGGGGCTTGGATACTGTTAAGAATCTGAGTTTTCTGGAGCAATGAGAGGCTTCTATGGCCGACTGCGGAAACAGTAGCTTAAAGCTTCCTAGAATCGTGCCCGGTCTGGCATTTTTAATTAAAAGGGGGGCGTTAGGTTATTAAGTCACAGAACACGACTCACCAACTAGGCATTGTCTGTAGAGAATTCGTACAAAGTAAACCTAAACATCTCAACGTTAGCTCCAGAAACAGGAGGGCTTGTCCAGGGGTTGCCTTTCGCTACAAGTCTTTAGGAAATGTCGAACCGATTGGCCAAAAATCGCTCGTTTTCTTGGGCTCTATGCACCATTGCGCATGAGGCTTGCCGATACTGTTCAGCTTGCGGCCTGTAACCTGCCTGAGGCTTGAGGCGTGAGCTGCGACTATTGGACCTAAACAGGGCTGTAACACGTAGGCCACAGCCATCGGCCAAGGTGAACTCAGCTAGCTTCGCCCCCAAGAAGAGAAGAGGAAGCCCGAGGGGGAAAGCACAAATTCTATTCATAAAATTTAAATCATTGCCGAAGTACGAAGCGAACGTCCTTCCATCGATCATATCACTTTCAAACGCTACATTTCTGGCCGTCATGGACCCGGTGGAGCTTGCAGAAGCGGCAGCGTATGATGCCGCGACAGAATACGATCTTTATCAGAGTACCGGCGACCCGATCCATCTCAATCAAGCCGTCCGCACAGGAACATTGGCGGTTTTCACGATTCCCGAGGGCCACCATTTACTGCCAGAATTCCTGAGTAATCTATCGGTTTTTCGCCAGGGCCAATATCAATACTCTGGAGAAGCTCTCTTCGCCGAGGAGGCAGTACGTGTCGCACAACAGGCTGTCGACTT